GGATCGTGACCTGAGCTGAAGGCAGACATTTAACGACTGAGCCACCCAGACATCCCTGTTTTTGTCATTTTTAATCAATGATTTTAGTCATTCTAATAGGTGTATCACTTCTAGGAATTTAAATTATATACATACTCCCACATGTGTGGAATGATAGATGCATACAAAGATAGTCATTGCAGTATTATTTATAATAGCAAAAGACTGGAAACTACAGTCTAGTATTAGGACATTAGTTAAATAAATTGGGGTACATCCAGACAATGGAAGACCATGCAACCTTTGGGAAAGGATGATGTGTCAGTTGGGAACCAAACCCTAAGATGTACAATGAAAAAAGCAAGGTGCAGGGCTGCATGTATAGTGTGCTATATTTGTGTAAAAAATAAAAATATATATACTTAGACACACATACACTTATATATTAACAGAATATCTTTGCAAGGATACACAAGGAACAGTGGTTTTCTCTAGAGAGAAGTGAATGACTAGGGTATTAGTTTATGTGTCCTCTTGTAAATTTTGGGTCTTTCACTTTCTATTCAAAATATGCTAAAATTTTTCTCTATGTCTGGGTCCAACCTCAGACTCTTAACATAAGAGAAAACACTATACCTAAATATTATAAAAATCATAGACTCAAGCTCATGGGTTTCATTTATGTTATTTTTGTGTGATAGTCCTGAGCTACATTTCATATCATACAAGCTTCTTTGTAGCCTAAAATCTGGACAGCTGTGGAACATAGTCCTGGTAAAATAAAGTTAAGTGGTGTAGCAGATAAAACCTGCAAACTGTTTAGAGTAGCCTGAATAACTCAGTTGCTTATTTGGCTAAACATGAGTTAAATGGACAAATACTAAGCATCTATTGTAGTATTATAAAAGACACTGATGTTAGACCTTTGTAGTACTTCCCTAGAGCTGCCTTAATTAAATACCACAAACTGTATGGCTTAAGATAAATTTATTGTCTCATGGTTCTGGAGGCTGAAAACAGGGTGATGGCAGAGCCATGCTCCCTCTGAAACCCACAGGGAAATCCTTCCTTGCCTCTTGGCAGCTTCTGGGGATTAGCAGACAATCTTTGACATTCCTTCGCATTCAGCTTCATAACTCTCATCTTTGCCTGGGTCATCATATGGCATTTTCCCTGTGTGTCTCTGTTTTCATATGGCCACCTCCTCATCAAGATACCCTACTCCTACTCTAATATGGCTTCCTCTTACCTTACTTAACTATAACTGCAACCATTCTATTGCCAAATAAGGTCACATTCTGAGATACTAGGGGTTAGGATTTCAACATATCTTTTTTGAAGGGACACAATTCAACCCATAACAACCTTTCTCTAGAATCTTTGGGGAGAAGGTGAGAGAGAATGTAAAAGCCAAAGATGCTGAAACCTACCTACATTGCATTTAGCCCGCTTGAGTCCTGCTGAGATTAAATTACAGCCTCAGCCTTCCCTAAAAGGCACAGCGCAGATGAGTTACCAAAACTTCAATCTGGAACTCCAGAGGAATTTACAAATTCGGCCCCATGTGGAGACCACCCCCTTCCTGGTTCATGCTTCACTGAACTGCATGCTCCACCTTCAGTTATTGCCCTGCCACTCCCGTCCTTCGTGGGATGAACCGCAAGCTTGAGTTAAGAGAAAAAGAAATGTACTAAGGTCAAATGACAACCCCACCCCCGCCCTCATCAGATCACAGGCTTCACACCAGGAAGATTTGTGTTTGCTTCTTTTTTTTTTTTTTTTAAGATCTATTTATTTATTTGACAGAGAGAGACACAGCGAGAGAGGGAACACAAGCAGGGGGGAGTGGGAGAGGGAGAAGCAGGCTTCCCGCGGAGCAGGGAGCCTGATGCAGGGCTCAGTCCCAGGACCCCGGGATTATCACCTGGGCGGAGGGCAGACACCTAACGACTGAGCCACCCAGGCACCCCTTGTGCTTGCTTCTTGTGCTACTGTGCTTCACAGGGCCCCTCCTGCTGTCCACGTGAGAACACTTATCGCCCTTTGAGAGGCACAGGAACCCACAGGTGGAACTGTTCTTGAAGTAATCCCAATTGCTCTCAAGTTTCTGTCAAAAGACATCCTTTTTGAACTCAACACCTGTTGGCCACTAAACCTATTAAGAGTCTCTTCACTGAGGGCCAGATTTTACTGCTTGGTTCAGTCACACCTCCACCAAGAGCCCTTTCTGTCTGTCAGTGAGGCAGGATTTGGACTTTTTTTGTTGTCTCAGAATTAATACACAGCCTTTTCTTGCTTTTCTATGATACTTTATATTATTAATCCATTCACATCTAAGTGTTTGAGTCTTACTTTCCCAAACACAGTTCAGAGTATTTCTTGCCTTTTGCAGTGGCCAAAGAACTTTTAAAAAGGCAAAGAGAAATTATCCTTATTTTTAAATGGGAAGAGGTCCTAGGAATGCAAAACAATAAAATACATATAACATATATACATATGCAAAACATATATATTTAGTGCTTTGCATTACGACAACCTTCTCTTCTCATATGAATATATATTGAATATACGCACACACCTATTTAGAGTAGCTCTTTTTTTGGTGTGATGATTATGTAAGTCCTAGTGATCGTTCTGCCAATATTTATTCCCTACTCCATTTCCCCAGCGTATATATATTTTTAAGCGCCATGGACATTTTCTTTAGAGTCTACAGAAATAATTCTTGCCTTGTATATTATATGATGGCTGGAAAGGATTTTTATTTTTAGCATGACATTTTTGTCAGGGTTAATTGTTTTCCTATTACCTGCCTTTTTATTTATTTTTATTTTTTTAAATATTTTATTTATTTATTTGACAGAGAGATAGCGAGAGCAGGAACACGAGCAGGGGGAGTGGGAGAGGGAGAAGCAGGCTTCCCACTGAGCAAGGAGCCCCGACGAGGGGCTCCATCCCAGGACCCTGGGATCATGACCTGAGCCCAATGCAGATGCTTAAGGACTGAGCCACCCAGGCGCCCCCTGCCTGATTTTTAGAAATGCGAACAATCAACAGTTGTTTTGTTTTGTTTTTTAATCAACTACACTTGGAGTTATTTTTCTGTAGACTCCAGGCCCCAGAGAGTGTTTGTTGAGTAAGTCTAGTGGACATCACTCCGGGGAAGGCAGAAAGCAAAGGATGGTCCTGCCTTCCCCTAGCCCTTGGAGCGGCAACTGTTTTCTGAAAAATGGGAAAAAGAAAGTCAGAGGAAGGTTAGATTTGACTTAAAACTGTCACTTTCCAACTGGGAGAATGTCATTTTTTTTACATTGCTTCAGCTGGGGTTTAAGTGGGAATGTATAATGTGGGGTATGAGGCACTATCTCCTGGCTTTTTAAAAGTCACCTAATAAAATCTTTCCAAAAAGGAACACACCTACTCATAAGTTAGTGGAGTTGATTTCAATCTATACCCTGCATTCTAGAATTTAGACACCAATGAGAGGCTAATTAAGTCGTGGTTAACTTGGGTGGGGAGGGGGGCACTCCATGCTCCCCTTGGTCTAAGAGGTTGGAATTTAAAGGACAACATGCTTCCTGCTCACTTCCTGCTCATCGGGACATTTAAAGCACTATTTAATTCCACACTATCTTTTTATTATCGGTACTTCCTCTCAAAAGTCCTACACTCCTTGCCTACCAGGGCCGCAAGTAGGGTGAAGTGAGTCACTCTGCTGGGGGTGAAGCTTAAAGGGGGTCTAAAAAGTCTCACTAATCAAGATAAACAATATTTTAACGAAAATTTTTTTAAAAATCGGTAAACTAGGCCAGCTGCTAACTGCCTATTTCTGTAAATAAGACTTTCAGGGGTGGGATTAAGATGGGAAGAGAGAGGCGGGATCATGCAAGTGCAAAAATGCATTCGAAGTTTTGATATATTGCTTATCATGGATTTTTTGCATTAATTTTGATTTTTTTGAAATTAATTTTGACTTTAAAAATATTACATTAAAATATTTATCTTGATTATTGAAGTGTGGGGGTTTTTTCGATTTTTTGCAAAATTTTGCAGTGAGGCACGTGTCACTCACTAGCCTTACCCTAGTATCGACCCTGTAAAATTACGAGTCAACAAAAATCTATCCATCTTGTTCAACCACGACTCTTACATGTGAGAGAATCAGGCCGCTCCCCTCCCCAATCCCCAGCGTAGAGATGCCCGCACCATGAAGTCTCCTTGCGGCCCCGTGGGTTTTAGGATCCTCTCCTCTGGCTTTCCTTGCACGTGTACTAAAATACTACATTGCATTTGGATTGGTCTTCTCGCCCTGAGCAGCCGGAGTGCCTTGACCGTGTCTGCTTTTGCACTTTGGTTCAAGTTATGAAATGATCCGGTCCTCTACTCAAAGTTACCCAATTTCACTGCTCGCCAACCACCTCCTCCACAACGCCTCCCACAACTGCGCTGACCCGCAGCGATGTCCTCTCCACCAGTGTTCTGCGTCTCAGTCCGGTGCTCGGTACTGGGACGCAGGGTGACAGGACCAGCCCTAGCCTGGGTCGCCGGGGCAGCAGACCCGCCCCAAGCCCAGACTACCTCGCAGTCTGGCCGCCACATCCTTTCACCGGTCATCGTGTGATCTCGTCTGTGCGCTCCGCCGAGTGCTCCGGCGTGAGAAAAGGCTCGCGCCGCTTCCAGGTTTTTTTACGGGAGGAAACTGAAAAGCGCGAAAAATCTCCTCGCACGGTAGTGCGCAGGCGCAGCGGCGCGCGGGGCTTTCTTCAGCCCGGTCCTTGGCGGCGCCGGCTGCGCGCCGGGCGCTCGGCAGCCGGGTGGGGGCGCTGCGGGGAAGGCGCCCGAGGCGGGAGGGGGCTCCTTGGAGGGGGTTGGTGCAGGGCCCGGGTCGCCGCCCTCGGGGGCGGGGACCCGTGCGGGCGGAGGAACGGGGCTAGGACCGGTATGGGGCGGGCGCTTCCCGGGGCGTGCGCAGGGGCCGCGGGCCAGATGAGACGGGTGACGGCGGGTGACAGCGGGCGGGGCGGCGGGCGTTCACGCCCTCTGCTCGGCTGGGCCGGGAGGGTCCTCGGACTCGGTGCGCGCCGGGCCGGGCGGGCTGAGGCGCGCGGGTCGGACGCGGCGCCATGCACGGCCCCCCTGCTTGGCCGCTGCGGCTGCTCCTGTGGCGAAGCCCGGCCGCCAGCACGTGGACCCTGGGCGCCGGCGTCCCGGGGCCCCGGCCTCAGTTGACGGGCCTGTGGCCGGCGCGGCCTTGGGGCGCGAGGCCGAGGCTCCTCGGGGATGCCGGAGCCGCGGGAGGCCCGCGCCGCTGCACGAGCGGCTGCCCGGGCGGGGGTCCCCGCGGCCCCGGAGGTGGAGCAGGCCTCGTGCGGCTCCTGGGGCTGTGGGCGCGGCCCCCCGGCGCCAGCAGGTGCCGGGCGCTTGCCGGGCCAGACGCTCCCCGGCTCCCGCGCGCCGGGCTCCGGGGCGGCCCGGCAGTCGCAGCCCGGGCAGGGGGCGAGGCCTGGCAGCGCCGGCCGTCGTTGCCTGCGGCCGCGGCTACTCCCGGAAACAAGCCGCGGCTGCGCCCGGCGGTGGCCAGGCGCTCGGAGGCCCAGAAGCTCTTGGGGCTGGCGTATCCGGAGCGCGGGAGGCTGGCAGGTAGGGCTTTCTCTGTCCTCTTCCCCTCTGCGGGTCAGCACACCTTACAGAGCGCGTGGTCCCGGGACACGGTGGGGGCGGCAGAGAGACCCTGGGCCACTTGTAACACTGTGAGGAGGGACGGGCTGGCTTTGTACATGGGGATCTTTACCAAGAAGTGCTGAATGGAGCGCTCACCTCTCGGTAGCATTGTCAAGCCTTTCAGGTTGGCCGAGAACCTGTTGTCAGTTGTCTTTTATGTTTGTTTTCTTAGCTTGACACACATTATACAAGTGGAGCAGCATCTCATTATTGGAATCTTTGGGTTCGCCCTGCTTTGGCATTGCCAGCATTCTCAGAATGAGCTGGGTTTCCCCCCCTTTTACATTTTAAAATTTATTCTAGCCAAAAATATACCTGTTTTGTTTTACGCAGTTATAGTACTTCTTAAAAACATTGTGTATTATGCTAAGCGAAGTGAGTCAAAGAAAGACAAAAACCATATGAGCTCACTCATACGTGGAATTTAAGAAACAAAACAGATGAACATAGGGGACGGGAAGGAAAAATAAGATAAAAACAGAAAGGCAAACCGTAAGAGACCCTTAACTATAGGGAACAAATGGAGGGTTGCCGGAGGTGAGCTGGGTGGGGGATGGGGTAACTGGGTGATGGGCATTAAGGAGGGCACTTGATATAATGAGCACTGGGTATTGTATGCAACTGATGAATCGCTAAATTCTATCCCTGAAGCTAATAATACACTATGTGTTAACTGAATTGAATTTAAATAAAAATAAGTAAAAACATTATTTGCTTTAGGCAAGTTTATTAAACAGTCAACAATTTTTTGCTATGTGAAGCAAAACAATGGAAACCTTTCAGGTTTGTTTCAGGTGCTTTTTGCCTCCGTGAGTGGTAAGCAGGAAGTTACTAGCTCTTCAAAAAATCAAACACTGGCATGATCGGCGATCTGTGAACTCCAGGAACTATGAGAAATTGTAGATCATAACCCAACTAAATCATAATTAATTTTTTTTAAAGAAGTTGAAATGAATGTATTTAGAACTATTTTCTATAGTTCCTCATTTTTTTTTAAAGGATTTTATTTATTCATTTGAGACACAGAGATACAGAGAGAAGAGAAAGCATGAGCAGGGAGAGAGGCAGAGGGAGAGGGAGAAGCAGGCTCCTTGCTGAGCCAGGAGCCTGATGTGGGGCTCGATCCCAGCACCCTGCGATCATGGCCTGAGCCGAAGGCAGACGCTTAACCATCTGAGCCACCCAAGCGCCCCTATCGTTCCTCATTTTTAACCGTAGCTGGGGAAATGTTTACGTGCAAGGGCCTTTTAAGATCTAAAGGTTTTTGAGATTCCCCTAAATTTTCATTTCTTTAATAAATACTTATTGAGCCCGCTCAATATATGGTAGGCCATGCATGGGGTTACATTGGCGAGCAGAAAAAAACAGTTCCTGTTTCTGCTAGGGCTTCCAGCTTAATGGGGAGGAAACATAAATGAAATAATCATATGACTAGAGATAAAACTGCAGCCATGATGAGGGCGAGGGCCTGTGAGGTTGTCAGATGCAGCCCTTGAAGCAGGTGAGAAGCCCGCATGCTTTGCTGCTTTAGAAAGGATTTTCTTAGGGAGTCATTTGTGATGTGGAGGAAGGCAGGTGGAGTAGGAATGTTTTACCTGTCGCTGACTGTTGAAGCTTAGGGCAATTCTTGGTATCACCGAGGTATAAAGAGAATTTATTTCATTGCTCAGTTGGGCGTATGTAGATTTTGATGGAAATAAAGATCTTTTACCCTATTAAAAGAAAATTTTGAGACTAGATAATCTCACTGGACTGTGAGCTGCTCGAGACAGGCACTGTGTCTGATTCTGTCTAGTTCTTAGCATGTGTGCAGCACAGAGCAGGGGCTCAGAGTGCCCGAGATGAAGGAATAAATAATGGTCCCACCAGGCCCAGATTGAGGCCCAAATTTAGAGTCCCTGAGCACTACAGGGTATGTCTGCCATTCCCATATGCAACTCAGAGTGACTGCAAGGAAAGCCAGTTTTGTTTTATTTCTGAAATATCAGGTGCCGAGAAGGTGTTTTAGACATCAGACTTTGCTGGTGCCCACATGTGCTCAGCCCTCTGGGTAGCCCAGCCCTGCCTCTCTCATAATCATCATCCCTGTACCTTCCTTCCGTTCCCACATGTCCGACCACGCTAGTATGTTGAGAAGACAGCTTTAAATGAAGTCAGAGCTGTACCTCCTTTTAAGAAGAGCGATTTTGGGGCACCTGGGTGGCTCAGTTGGTTAAGCAACTGCCTTCGGCTCAGGTCATGATCCTGGAGTCCGGTGATCGAGTCCCGCATCGGGCTCCCTGCTCAGCGGGGAGTCTGCTTCTCCCTCTGACCCTCGCCCCTCTCATGCTCTCTCTATCTCATTCTCTCTCTCTCAAATAAATAAATAAAATCTTTTAAAAAAAAGCGATTTTGATCTGCCTCATTGAATAATTGTGAACATATAATCTGAGAAAATAAGTCCGAGCTTGATACACTAATTTATTTTAAACAGATAATAAATACTTATTGTATCTTATGAGGAAATCTGTTGAAAAACCCTTACTAGGACATATGGTTTCCTTAAAAGTCATTATATATGATATATCGAAGCCCATCTGGACGTTGGCATTTGTGGGATTAAAAGGAAGTGGGGTGTCATCATTAATTTGTAACTTATCGTAAGAGCAGCCTCAGATGTTGGCACATCTCTCTGAAATGCTGTGGATAAAGAGCTCTGTGTGTGTGTGTGTGTGTGTGTGTGTGTGTGTGTGTGTATGTGTTAATCAAGAAACCAAAAAAAGCTGAGCTGAAGAAAAGAAATTCCAGTGTTAATTTGCCAATTTTTAGGAAAACAAATGCAAAAATCCTTTTTCAACGATTCAGCTATACATTTGATTAACAATATTTTCATCTGTCTTCAGCAATCTGCTGAGTATGCCACTTGAAGCCTGTGAGCAGAACACTTTGATCTGAAGTAATTTATATCAGAAACTTTAAAACCAGGGTCTACCATGTGAAATGTTTCCATATGTGTGCAGAGAAGAGTTTTAGCATTGTTCCCGTTCTCCTCCCAAAGGCACTGCAGTCCCCTCACCTGCCCTCGCCCCCCTGCGGCTCACTTGGTATAGGAATTCGCACCATCATCCTATAGTCATGGCCTTTTTACAAAGTTGCTCTCCAGTCTCTCTCTCATAATTCTTCATCTTATCGCCTTGGCCAGAGGAGTCTTAAAAGATACAGGAGCTCATCGAGGAGCCCCTGTGGATGGACTGCTGGGATAAGAAGTAATTTGTCCGAGCCCCTTGCTGCGTTTGGCAGATAGAGGGAGGCCGTGGAGGGCTGTAGCCACCCCATTGAGTTAGGGGCAGGGAACACTGCATAAATTGATATCAGGAGTGAGCTGTGGGTCGTTGGGGAACTGTGAGGTTATAATGACAATGCCAACCTGGAGGTGCACACAGAGCCAGCTTGCCTTCCCTACACTTCCCGGGCAGGTTCCTGGTTACACTGTGCAAGCAAGGTACACCTCCACCCCTCCACCCACACCGTTCAGTTGAGGCCTCTGGAGAACTGGGGAGGGTGCCCCTCATTTAAAATACTGATAAGGACTTGTGTGGTTTGAGATTAGGACCGTTCTTAGAACCTGATGCCCACCAGGAGCTTTTGCTGAATGTATAGTTATATTTTATGAAGTGACCAAAAAGAATAGAGTGATAAAACCAGTGAATGCAGTAAGCAAGGAGAGGGTGAGCCGTGCTTAGAATGGCTGTTTCCTGAAGCCCAGGTCAGGACGGAGGCTCTTCCAAGGACAGTACTGCCGGCACAGTGAGGCTGAACCTCTCAAATTGAGACTGCTCCAGAAAGCCAAGGAGGTTTGTTTGCTCTGGAAATACTGTATTTCAGAGAAAACATGAACATTCTCTAGCTGTGCTATGAAACGTGTTAGAATTGATATAAGCAGACAATGCATACCATGTTTTAAAAGAACTTGGTATGAAAAAAAGTAGGGTTCGCTATTTTTATGTTGATTACAGGTTGATTAATATTTTGGGTATATTGGATTAAATGCATTGTTAAAATTAATCTTACCCCCTCTTATTCTTTTAATGTGGCAGAAGATTTGAAAGTACATCATATGTCTACTGAACAGCGAGCTCTGGAGTCAAAGGCAGGCCTCCCACTATTGCAGATATGGCCCAGATGCCTCAGTCTTCAGCACAAGCTGACAGTCTGGAAGATCTTTGTTCTGCAGATTACTCCATGAACTGAGCAGTTTCCTAAACTCTGTTTGCTGCTAGTCTACCAGCTCCTGATGTCTTCACTTCCTTCCCTATCCAGCTTAGATGCCAGGTTTCTTCACCTCACCCTCTAACCTGCAATACCTTCTCCTCCTTTGTGCCCCATAATACCCACCTTGCATCCATGGAGATGTCTCCTGAACACTTGAAAACTCAACATGTCCAAAAACCAAAGTTGCCTTCCTCCCTAAAGCTGCCTTTCCTGCTCTGTCCCTTCTCTCAGAGAGTGGACTGCTGTGTGAACCCCTTTGCCACAGCTGGAGACATTCTTGGCTCCTTGTGATGGTAACAGTGATGAAGATAATAGGTGATTATTGTTCACTAGATATTGGGCCCTGTATCAGATGCCTTACATATATGCACTTAATTTACTCCTTGTAATATTTCTATGAAGGAGGTATAACTTTTATTGCCATTTTATAGATGAAGACCCTGAGGCACAGGGAGGTTGAGTGACTCACTGGGGGTCAGACAGCTAGATGGCAGAGCAAGGTCCAGTTTAGAACCTGTCCTCCTAACATGCTCCCCAAACCCGGCCAATCCTCAGGTCCTGTAGAGCCTAGTTCATAAAAGTATCCCCTGTCCTTGTCGCCCTCCTTGTCCTCTCTGCCCTTGCCCTAGTTCCCTCCGGTCCCTCTTGCCTGGAGCAGTGGACTAGCG